CCCCCCCCCCGGCCAACGGTTTATGAACAGTTGAAATCTGGTGTCAACATAGGTTCAACGTGGCAAAAAAATTACCACATTTTTTCTGTTGGAGACGGGGCAGGGTCAGGACCTGTCACTTTGCTGATTGCTTGGACATTGAGACAGGGTGGGATTAGGACTTGCCGTTTTGTTGTTTGTCTAAGACATTGAAATGAGGCTGGAGATGAGGTCATCCTGACTGATTCGGTCGCTTTGCTGTTTGCCGAAACATTGAAATGGGGGTGGAGATGTGGTCATCCTGACTGATCCAGTCGCTTTGCTCATTTGCCTAAGACATTGAAATGGGGTTGGGGATGAGGTTCTTCTGACTGATCCAGTCGCTTTGCTAAGTCAGTCGGATTTTCTTGTTGACAATGGTATGACTCTTCTCCTTGTGAGAATAGTCTACGCTAGTGTGTTGAGGATTGCATGGGGTTTCATTGATAGCAACTTGGAAAGTTAATCAACAAAGTGAGATACAAGAGTTATGTTTTTGTGATCAGGATTCAGAACAAGCGAAACATGAACACTTAAGATGAACGAACACTTGTTTGGAACTGGTTAAATGAGTTGTTGACATGACATGCTCGTCAGCAAAGCCTTGTCTTTTGTTCAAGTTCTGTTTATTTATGTTGCTTAATAGGGTAGTATGTTAGTGCTCGCCACGTGCTGGAGCTATAGGAATTAGTTCAATTTTTGTATTTTTCGAGTTAAGTTTATTTTATTTAAATCAAGTTATCGCATTTTCAGGAATCTTTTATTTTACTTGGCTCTGTATAAATTTTGGATAGTTATTTTTCCTACGGGAAGCGTTGTCGAAATTTCTAAAAAACCAAGGAGTTAGTCAAATTTTGACTTTCACAATTCAAGATTTGTCTTAGTTTATATTTGGCTTAGTTAAAATCTGGGAAGCCTACTTTTCTGGGAGAGCTGTTGCCCAAATTTTTACTAAATCACGGAGTTGGACAAAGTTTGACTTTGAGAAGTCAGAGTTATTTCTGAATTTTATATTTAGTCTCGTATAAATTATGAAAAGATATTTTTCCTACGGAAAGCGCTGTTGAAATTTTCCCAGTTTTGAAGAGTTAGATTATATTCTGGTAGGATAATTCTTGGAAATTCACCCTGTATAAAGGAAATGCTGCCAAAATTTCTCTTATTCTTTGAGGTCCATTGGAGAGATAAATTTAAGATCTAGTCTTACGAGATTTTGAGTAAGATGTGATATGGGCTTTTATGCTCCGTACACTTAAAGTTCAAGTATTTGGGATTTGGCCTGTGTTGTGTAACAGGTCCTTCTTGACCGTTTTTGATTCAAGATCTGACTACTTCAGCTCGGTCCTTTGAGGATCATTTTCTGTTATCTTTGATAACACGTTGGTTGGTTGGCCGTCGACTCGTCGGCTCACGACACAACTTTGCTTACACTTGTATCTTAGCTTGATTCCTTAGCCCTGAGATTTGATATGTTTCTTTAAAAGTTTTAACCAGACTTCTTTTAATGGTCATTATAAAGAATTGATGGATGTTTGTGGAAAGTTGGACAATGGTTGGGGTTTGAGTGTGTGAGGCATGGTGTGAGTTACAGAGAACAGTAAAGTTGACCACATTGGTAAATGACAATGTGGCTTTCGTACGTGCATGTGTTTATGCAGGTTAGTATCTTGGAGCTTGGTATACGAGTCTTACTTTGGAGGCAATGCGAATAACAACCATCTGTCGCGCGATCTGCATACGTGATGTGTTCATTTTTCCCTCTTTTATTTATCTTGAGTTTTGAATTAATATGGGTGTTGGGATGCCTGTTTATTCACTGAGTGATTTTGCTTGTTGATTTTTATAGTTGGACGTTGATGTCCATGACAACGCTCAAAGTCAAACCCCTTGACTTATCTCCAGGCCCTGGATGATGGAGCTTGTCTCCATGGCCATAAGGGTCGACTGCCATCACAGGCGTGGTATAACGTGTGGTAAGAAGGATGCGTCCTAGCGACCGATGACGAGTCGCGCTTGGGACTTCGGCCCCCAGTGAGTCGGCTTGCGTACGGGTCCGATAAGGGCGTGGAACCGCGCGTACCCCCTATGCTACAGCGTACGAGAAAACGCCCTCGACTGGTCCACCTCTGCGATTACATGTAAAAGCTTTCGTACGGTGGACTAGTAGTTCGGCGGGGATACGCCCACCTAAAGGATGGTGGCAGCTCCCTCATGTGGCGGTAAGTTGTACCTCGAGTAACCCTACCTTATCGTAGGGGTTCGCGAGAGGTATGGCTGGCGCACTCGGCCGGAGAGGCAACGCTCTACGACTAAAAGTCTTGCCGAATCCTGCGTGACGTGGCCGAGAAGGTCCCCCACGCTTGCGGGGACCGTGCGCTCGACAGGTGGCGCTGTTGTCGGGGATGATGGTTGCATATCGTTATCGCTGATGAAACGATACTCGAGTTTGGTAAATGAAAATTTAGGCAAAATTATAAGTTTTCATTTGGACTTATATGAGAGGTAATTAAGTTAGACTAAGTAGCCCTCGCTTAGTCGATAAAACCTTGCTCTAGAGGAGACTTATGGTGTGCGACTGATATAGATGAGGGGGTGACTGGTGAACCCGAAGTAAGGGGTTTAATAGTAAAGGTATTTCCTTGAGCCAAGACTGAGTTAAAGAACGATAGGTATCGTGATACGTATTGTGCCTAAACTCTTCGGATGTGTTAATCGATAATAGGCGGAGTCCCTTATGGATTGCGTAGTCGTAATTGCCGATACAGTTGCAAAGTATGTGGTTACTTGGCTGGAGGTCTGGCTAATCCAAAGAAAGGTCTGTGTTAAAAATATGTAGTATATATATATATATATCATTTTTTACGAAAGTTTTATTTTGGTTGTCTCTATGTGTGTGTCTTTTTATGCATTGCCTTCCAATGGGACATTGAGTTTGCATGAAACCCACGTCAAGCATGGGACCAGAGGTGGCTGGGGTGACTTGTTTCTGTGGAAGGTGATTCTTCTTGAAAGAAGTCAGTCAGCGTGTATAATTTGTCCTCAATGGAAGTGCACTCTTGAATTATTACTCCCTCGTTGATGCTTAAGGAAGCAGTTATGAGTCTTGAGAATGATAGTGAGACCCACGTCGGAACTATGTTCCTGGTCCATAATGGGGTGTTGTTATCTTTCCTTCGAATAGGAAAGTAAATACATTATCAGGTAAAAGAGGAGGAAAGAGTTTGTTCCCTGATTTAAACCTTGATGGCAAAGTATGGCAACTACTGCTTAGCCAGGGTGGGTCTAGAGTGACGACCTAGACCAGACTCTCGCTAGGTAGGGCCACCATATTTAGAGAGGTGTGGGATCGTCACCTATTGTCTTAATAGGTACGAGTGGGGTTGTCTTGCTAGCCTTGATAGGTTTAGTAAGGTGCAAGCGCTGAAATCAGAGAGGGTTGAAGTGAGGCTTGATCTTTACAGCGGGGCTCATGAGTCAAGATGTTATCTCATGAGGATTACACTGCCTCTCTATTTTATATGCTTCATTTAATACTGAAGGAGTAACAGTTGTATCATGTTATTTACTCATTGCTAGTCTCATTCTGGCCTGATAGAATTTTTACACTATGTTCTGAGAGTTATCTTA